ATCTTTATTAGAATAAAACGTCTATGTTGATTTAGCCTTGGCCGTCCGTCTTTGGAAACCTCTCTTTTTTATAGCCTCCACCATAGTATGGAGGGTATATTAAGTTTGTCATTCCGTTTGTAACACCTCGAAATATACATTTTAGACCCCACAAAGTATATATATTCTTGATCAGCATAAAATTCTATGTCGATTTATCAATGTCCGTCCGTCTGTCCGTCATTCTGTTATTCTGTCCGTCTGTGGAAATCACTCTAGCTTCCGAACGAAATGAAGTATGTTAATAAAAATTTACTCAAATGTGTATTATGTCTGCGGACTTTTGCTATTGAAAATGGGCTATGTAGTTCCACGTCTTTGCCCCCATATAAATGTACCCTCCGATATTCAGTATTTTGATAATTTTAGCGACATTATTAACCGGAATTGTTTCAAATTTGGTATTTGAAGTTCGTAATGGATACTACAGACTAAGACAGAAAACTGTCTGTGTAAGTCCACGTTTTTGTATAGCCCCCATATAACGGTACCTCCCTATATTCGGTATTTTAATGATTTTTGCGACATTATTAAGCGGAATTGTTTAAAATTTGGTATTTGAAGTTCCTAATGGATACTACAGCCTAAGACAGAAAATTTTCTGGGCAGGTCCACGTCTTCGTATAGCCCCCATGTAAGGGTAACTCCCTATATTCGGTATTTTGATGATTTTAGCGTCATTATTTACCGGAATTGTTTCAAATTACGTATTTAGAGCTCGTAATGGGAACTACAGTCTGTGACAGAAAATTGTCTATGCAGGTCCAGATCTTCGTATAGGCCACACATCCCAGTACCTCGCTTTGTTCGGTATTTTGACGAGTTTAAGTACAATGCCCACCGAAATTTTGATGCTACAGCCTATGGCAGAAAATTGTCTATGCTGGTTCAGGTCTTCGCACAGCTCCGATATAACGCTACTTCCCTAAATACGATATTTTAAAGATTTTAGCTACATTATTCACTGTTTATTTTAAGTTTCGAATTTGAATATGGTAATGACTTATGACAAACAATGCCCATGTAGGTCCACGTCTTAAAGAAACAAATATAGCGGCTATATTCGGTATTTTTAAAATTTTTAGAGAATTTTTCGGCCCGGCCGAACTTACAGGTTTTTAACTTCTTTTTATATTAAAAATGGGTCCCCCATATAACTGTACTGGGAGATTTATGTTGTTTTGGGTATTTAAGTCAAAATTTTAAACCGAATTTGATGTGTTCTTAGTATGTTGGAAATAATATTGCAGGAAACTAAGCCCCATATAACTGTACCTACCTAAAATCGGTATTTTTGACGATTTTAAGTTAAGTAAGACTAATAAAAACGCGTCATTTTGGACGATATCGATTACTTCCTATACTTTATATGAGATATGTACAGATTTTTGGAAAATGTGGAAATATTCGTGAGGTAACAGATATAGAGGACCAAAGTATTGGATTTTCATACTTCATCTAATAGAGATAAAAATATTGGTATCATAAATTTCGATAAATTACACATTCATATCAGATTTCTGGTTAAGAGAAATATTTAGATATTGCAAGTTGTTTGGATGTGCGAAACTTAAAAGAGAGTTGGATGATTATCTTGCTTTCTGGGAGCGTTTTCTTTTTCAAACATTTTGAACCCTATGGGGGGAGGTACCAAAAGAAATGGTTCGATCTTTACCATCTTTATAACATATCTTGTGTCGATGGATATATTCCTTTTTTTTTACGTGTGAGAGGTACCGGAAAGAGTGGACCGATATATTTCATCCTCATACCAGACCTATATGGACAATGTTTTGACACCGGTTGTAGAACCCATTATGAAGTACAAGTACCAAGTTTCACAAAAATCCTTTATGTGGCTTAAATCGTCAAAATGCCAAATTTCCGATGGAACCGTTATATGTGCGCTATGGGAAAACGTGAACCCATATATTCAACGTTCCGCCACCGGGGATAGAACCCATTACGAGCAACACATACCAATTTTTAGACAAATCCGTAAAAAATGTGCGTAAAACAATCAAAATACCGAATATCGGGAGGTTCCGTTATATGGGGGCTATGCGAAAACGTGTACAATTTTCCGCCACTTGAGGTAGAACCCATAACGACAAATTGGTGAAAATACAGGTTGAGATGAAAAACTGCAACCAACTCCAGACTGCTGTCATTTCTAAGCCACTCGTCCGACAGATGTTAAAATTATTCCCGTGACAGCTCATTATATTGTTTACAAGCGAACATAAGCAATTTGGTGAGAATTTTCCAGAAAAAAAAATTATTCGTGATGGAATTTAAGCGTGATTGTGTGATTTCTTCACATGGTGATGGTGTGGGCGCTCTCCGCTCATATTAATCGAACAAACATTTTTTCCCGCAGACTTTGGACATTCCAACAGGACTCAACACAATCGCACTTAGCATGCGCCACACAAGAATGGTTACAAAATGAGGTTCATCGCTTCATTTCCAGCCGGATACCAACTCGTTAAACTATTGTGTCTGGAGTATTTTGGAAAGCAAGGTTGACACTAAAAAATACCAAAGTGTCGATCACCTCAAGCAAGCGCTTGCCCGAGAATGGACCAAAATACCGCAGACCAACATTCGGGCAGCGTGCGACGGTTTCAATGGCCGTTTGAAGGCCATAATTCGTGCCACAGGTGACCAATTCGTACAAATCGACACTTATTCTAAAATTTGAAGCTATTTCCGACATTTCTTGCTTTAATTCAAAACATTAAAAAAAAGGAAAAATTATGGCGTTTGACTTTGTTGCAGTGTTTTTATCTCACCCTGTAGTGTTGTAGGATATCACATGATCGGCCGCACACGACTATAGCCTTTTTATAATTTTTCACAACTACCCGATATTCGGTATTATGATGATTTTAGCTACATTTTTCAATGGAATTATCTGAAATTCTACACAAGGAGTTCTTTGCGAATACTTTACGTCTGAAAGAGAATTATATATAAATCCACGATATCGTATATCCCCCATATAACGGTACCCCACGATATTTGGTATTTGGATGATTTCATCTTGATGAAATTGTTTTAAAATCCACACAAGAGCTTCCTTTTGAGCACTTTACCCCCTAGAAGAGAATTATCTAAACAGGTCCACATTTTAGTACAGCGCCCATATAACTGTACCCCCAGATATTTACTCAATAATTTGTAACAATCGCCCTAATGCCTTTTTACCCAAAAACCTTCTGCTTTTTATACCCTACAACACTATGTGTTGGGGGTATTATAAGTTTGATTGGGCCAAAAATTATGTAACACCTCGAAATATTGGTTTCCCACATAGGAAAGTATATATCGATCTTCCTATTTCGCCGAGCTGAGTCGATCTAGCTATGTATGTCCGTCCGTCCGTCTGTCCATGTTAATTTGTAATCACTCTAGAGGTCGCAATTATGGCCCGATTTTCACGAAATATAGAATGGTGGTGTGACTAAGGCCATGATAGAACCCTATTTCTTTTGGAATGATCGCATAATATTTAGGGGTTGAAATGGACCAAAAACTGAAAAATTTAATGATTTTGCAGTTGCTCTACAGATCGCAATTATATACCAATCGACGCGGAATTTAGCATAGGGCTAGAGATTAGTGCTGAGCAGAAACCTTTCAATTTTGATGGTCATCGAATAATATTTAGTGGGTGAAATTGACCATAACATTTGTGTTAAATAAAAGTCAAATTTCCCATTAAACCGCGAATATTTTTAATCCTGGCGAAATCACAAATAGACGAACAGGTCAATTCTGACCGTTGCGTAGAGGCCGATAGTAAATATATCGGATATATATAGCGAAATATATACAATATGTATATACAAAGGAAGGGGATGTTAGAAATAATCTTTATATCTCAAGAATGTCTGGACAGATTTTGACAAATGTTGTCAATTCTGAATGCCCTCCTGGCCTAATAGAATAAAATATAAGAAAATCGCATAAAAAGATACCACAAATTATGCTAATATTGATTTTGTAGTATTTTGTGGCATTTTTTTATTTTTTCTCCCATGTGATTTTTTCAATTTGACTTAATATTGAAGTGTATATTTTGTAATAGATTTTCACCTTACAACACAGGTGGGGGTTATTATATACAGATTGCAATTATCGTCCGATCCTCTCGAAAATTTTCACAAGGGTAAAGTTAGACCCAGAAGGGCTAGGCCTATTGTTTTCAAAGATATCGGCAATATATTTAGAGGTTGAAATGGACCAACAAATAAAAACGTTCCTGATTTTTCAGCCCTTAAAAGGTCACAAATTGAAACCTATGGACACAAAATCTCGCATGAAATCAGAGTTTGGGACATCCGGTGGAATGGACCACTGTGAAAAAATACCAACATTTTAATTCTACCGAAACGCTGAAAATAACTTACAGGCGAAATCCAAAATACACAAAATGCGAACTTCTGGTTTTTTATGCTGATTTCGTTGACGGATATAGCCAAATATCGTAGACAAGCAATTCATACAGATTGGAGATTCAGAGGGGTCTCTTGCTTTTGAAGATGATCGCAAAATATTTAGAGGTTCAAATGAACCAAAATCAGAAAAAAATTCGTGATCACACAATTGAAACCAATCGACACAGAAATGTGCATGAGAAGAGAGTTAAGGACGGGAAAGAAGTCTAGCATTTTTATGACCATTGGATTATATATAGCTGTAAAATGGACCACAGCACGACGGAGTGCGTTAATATTGTGCAAATGGTCCTGGTCAAAAAACTATGGGTAATATCTGGGCAGTGCTCTATGACATCATTTCAAAAGCAAAATCTTCAAAAATGGACAGAAGGCGGCTTCTACATATTGTAGTGTTGTAGGGTATCACATGGTCGGCCCCGCACGACTATAGCCTTTGCTTACTTGTTTGGAAATAAGATTGAAATTAATTAATGTCCACCTTAACAGTGTCCTTATTCCATTTGTTTAATAAATCTGACGTATATTATTTTGTAATTTCACAGGCTTTTTGACCATACATTGTAGACTATAAACATCATTGCTCGTGACTTCCAAGTCGCTCTTTAAGTCACTTCCTTCACTTGAAATTTCATCTTCAATTTTCGAATATAATGAATCTTCTTTGCTGATTCCATTATCTTCATCTTCATCCTCAGCCCCAACACCCTCTTCACATTCAAAATCCCCCTCCGTTTGGCATGTACAAACTTCACAATTACAATCGCAGTCCGATTCGCATGACGAATATGCCCCCTCTTCTGGCCAAGGCGGGCAAGGGAATTCTTCCGGCAATTTCACTGTTGGCTCTTTATCATCCTCGTCATATTCTTCTTTGGTAATGCTAAACCATCGACAATCAAACGGTCCCTGTCCATAACCTGTATTGCATAATTTGGCTGCTTCCTGATAATAACGATGATTATTATCCATTTGCAATGAAGAGGGGCAAGTGCACTTAGGCTTTGCATCAAACTGCACATCCTCATGTTCTTCATTGTTTTCGTGATCGTAAAGGATTTTATCCACCACCCGCCTATACATTTCCTCATAAGGATCACTAATGGTGTGCATTTGTGTTGTGACTCTGACGGGTTTCAAACTTTCTCTCATTATCCTGGCGGCACACGTAGTACAGGTGCATTCTTGAGTTTCATCTGGTTGTGGTTTGGCCTGCATTCTGTCATACAATCCCTTATAGAGATTTTTGATTTTCCCCTCCAAAGCTTTTTGTGATATGGCAAACATACCCTGATATGCGGCATTAACTTGGGCAGTCCTCTTGGCTGCATGAGCCCACATACATTCGCATGTATGCTTCAATTGTTTGGATAACCAAGGGTTGGGAACACCACCCTCACCAGAGCCGTGATAGAAAGCACGAAATGCTCTCTTAATTATGGAATATGCAATTTGTGATTCCATGCGATCCATACCACATTTACGTTGCAGATCATGGAACAGGTCTTCTTTGGACAAACGTTTTCGCGGTATGGCATCGATGCGTTCGAGAACTTCTTCGAAATGGAGAAAATAGTAAGTGATGATGTCTATGGATAATTTGGCCTTGTGATTTGGAATGTGGCACAAGGTCATAATCTAAGATGAGGGAATATGGTTCAATTGGAATTTTTTTTTATGATTGTCTTAATACCTCTTTCAATGTTTCGGCAACATCTTGGATATTTTCCACCAAAACTTTCGCCGCAATGGCCTTGTAGGGACAATTGCAATAATTGTATGGTTGAAAGCATTCACATTTATATTTTTGTATAAATCGTTGCGGAATCATTTTGAAAGACAATTTAACAAAATATTTAAAGAATAGGGTTTAATTGACAGAAAAAAACGAACAGAAAAATGTCTATTGTGAAAGATCCAGCCATGATAGAGTAACAAGGTAACACACATGAAACTTTACATCGCAAGATATTCTAATTTTTGGGTGGGAGTTCTCCCCTCTTTCCCATTTTCAGATAAATTTACTGATTAAGATTCGTCATAGGTATAAAGTGTCTTCGACAATATTACAGATAAGAATACGAGAATTATTTAAGTTGAACAACAGATAGCAATAAACGGGTCATTTTTATAATGGTTAGAATTTGTAGGTAAAAAGTTTTCAAAATACCGTAAACCAGATGATAATGATATCCTGCTACTGTGGTTTTTATCCATTGCAAGTTTTAAATGTCAAATTTGAAAAAAAAAAATCACCAAAATGTCAAATATTTGGGGGTACTGCTTTATAGGTCATATAAAATATAATGGGTCTATTCTATCAGTCTTCTGCCACAGAAGACAGAACAAATAACAGACTCTACATACCGAATTTTAAAATATTTCCCTGAACTGTGGCTAAAAAGAATACCGAATACCGGTGTAAAGATATCATAGGAAAACGAAATCATATTAGGCAATGATCTGCGACAGGAGGTAGAACCCATTACGAACTCTAAGTACCGAAATTGAAACAATACCTTTAGAAAATGTATCTGAAATCATCAAAATGCCGAATCTCGAAAGGAACCATTATGTGGAGGATATTGAAAAATGTGGACCCATATAGACTATGTTCTGCCATTACGAACTCTAAGGCTGAAAATACATAAAGCGCATATTTGGCTGGCTTAAGTCATCGGCTGGCTTCTTCGAAAATGAACAAAGGAGTTTTAGGTTGACCTAGTTCGATTTTGGCCCTAGGCTCCTTTGTTCATTTCCGAAGACTTAAGCCAGCCTAATAAGCGCTTTATGTATTCACAGCTTAAGTACTGAATTTTAAACAATTCAGTTGAAAATGTGACCTAATAACCAAACATATAAAAACGTGAGCCGATAGACTTAGAATTTTATGCTGATCATGAATATAAATACTTTACAGGATCTACAGAAATATTTAGAGGTGCTACAAACGGAATGACAAATTTTATAACCCCCAATTCCACGTTGTAGAGTATAAAAATATCACAGGGTGAGATGAAAAAACTGCAACCAACTTCAGACTGTTGTCAATTCTAAGGCAATCGTCCGACAGCTGTTAAAATTATTCCAATGCCAGCTCAATATATTGTTTACAAGCGTACAAAAGCATTTTGGTGAGACTTTTCCAGAAAAAAAGTTATTCGTGATGGAATTCAAGCGTGATAGTGTGATTTCTTTAAATTTGGCTGGAAAACTACAAGTGGCTATCGTTAGAGCAATCTAGCATTTAAATGTGAATAAATTTTTTCTGTCTCGTACCATCGCTCGTTACCGAGATACTGGTAGCGTAGCCCGTCGTCAAGGAAGTGGACGGAAGAAAACAGCACCATCAGGGTTCGAAGAGTAAAGAAGCGACTTGATCGAGACCCGCGTCGCAGTGACCGGAAAATGGTTCGTGAGCTTAACATATCGTAATATCCCATTCGGCAAATATTAAAAAATGAACTCGGGGTAAAGCCATAACAATTCCAAAAAGTGCAAGAACTTACAGCGCAACAGAAAGAAAATAGACTCAAAAGAGCTAAAGAGTTGCTTCGCTTGGCCGTAAGTGGTGAACTGCCGAATTTGGTTTTCCGATGAGAAAGCATTTGTTGTCCAGCAGTTTGTAAACAAACAAAGTCATCGTGTTTACTTGCCAAAGAGGTCAGCTGCAAATGTGCACCTTCGGTTGGCCACCAGAACATAACAGCCGCTCGTATTAATCGACCGTGGCATCAGAATAAATGCCGAATATTATCGCGAAAATATTCTGGTGGGTGTATTAAAGCCTTGTTCACGCAAACATTTTGGCCGCAGACCTTGGACATTCCAACAGGACTCAGCACGATCACAGTCAGCAAGAATGGTTACAAAATTAAGTTCTTCGCTTCATTTCCAGCGCACAGTGGCAATCAAAATCTCCGCATACCAATCTAATGGACTATTGTTTGTGGAGTATTTTGGAAAGCAAGGTTGGCACTAAAAAATACCAAAGTGTCGATCACCTCAAGCAAGCGCTTCGCCGGGAATGGGTCAAAATACAGCAGAGCAACATTCGGGCAGCGTGTAACGGTTTTATTGGCCGTTTGAAGGCCTTAATTCGTGCCAAAGGTGACCAATACAAACAAATCTAAACTTTTTGAAAATGTTGATGCTTTTTCCGACATTAAAAAAATTTAAAAATAATGTAAAAATTATGGCGTTTGGCTTTGCTGCAGTTTTTTATATCACCCTGTAGATGTCGTTTAATAAAAAATAATACATTGTATTTAGAGATGGATTATATCTGTTCCTATCTTTTTAAGGATGAAATTATAAAAAAATGTAAAGATTCAATAAATTCCCCCCCCAAATTTTGTAAAATCTGAAATTGAAGTACTACCATAGACAAATTAAGATATAGACTAAAAAGTTTTTGTATTTACCCCTTCCGACAGATGTCACTATAGTTGATCTTGGGCCAGTCAAGTCACTCAGGGCTAGTTAAGTCACTCGACTTCGAAAACAATTTATTAATTTTTCTGCTATTTATGTTCTACATTTTAATATTTCACGACATAGTTGGATAATGTAGAAGTAAACAAAGTCACTGTTTCGTTTTTAATTTATAAATAATAATGAATCATAAAAATATTCAATATTTTGTGTTTTGAGAAAATTGAGTGAATATAAACAATATAAATTATTTTTTTGGCCGTGAAAAACTCACCACTTTAAACACTTCATTATTTCCTTTCCGCTCTCAGCAGAAGACATCCAATCAGACCAAAATGAGAGTGCACTTTGCAAATAACATTTCGCTTTTACACATTAACAACATAATTGTAGATTCTTGAAGAGACTTTCCGCCAAAAATATTTGACATTTGTTTTTAACATTTACTTCAACGCCCAAATGATTTTTACCAACCACTTAACGATCACTCTTACAACGTATAGCAAATACCGACCGACACAACAACAACTATAACACAATAGCTTTTTTTCTCACACGAGACACACGCACGAATGCAAAAGCAACAGCCGTGTACTCTCATTGTAGAGGAATAGAAAAACACTGAATTCTAAACGAATTTCAAGGGAAACCCACTTTATTTCGAAATTCTTTTCTTTTTAATGAATGCATTGACAATATTTCACACTTTTTATTCAATTTTTAATAAAATATTTCCTTTAATTTAGAAATTTGCTTTTAACGAGCACAATTTGCGACCGGCCGGGTTTTAATGTTTTTGACAACTGAAGAAGGAAACAATTAGGAGAAACAGTGTTGTCAATTGTTAAGGAATTACTATGCTGTGGCCTTGTTAAGAAATTACTATCAGTTTAACGAAAAACGCAAAGAAGGGAAAACCGCTCAAAAATGCAGTTTTTAAGTTGATTTCAAAGGAAATTATTTGTATTATTTTTGTCGATAGCCTTTTATCGAATTATTATTTCTACACCGCCCAACACATTTTTCTCACCCTCCAACACTTTTTATTTTATTTTTTCAAAGACGAAACTTAAAATTATTTTTTAATTAAAAATTATTTTTCTTCACTTGTTAAACTCACAATTTTAACCACTTCATTATTTTTATCCGCCCACTGCAGAAGATATCCAATAAGAATGAGGCGAATAGTCTCCAATAAGCCCAAGGTGAGAGAGTACTATACAAATTACGTTTAGCTTTTACACAATAACAAAACACTTCTAGATTCTGGATGAGACATGCCGCCAAAAATATTTGATATTTGCTTTCAACATTTTCTTTAACGCACAATTTATTGAAATGACTTTTTCCAACAACTAAGCGATCACTCTTAAAACGTTTGACAACTACCGACTGACACAACAACAACAAACCCAACACAATATTTTTTCTCACACAAATGAAGGCAAGAGCAACACCGTGCACTCTCATTATAAATGAATAGAAAAACACTAAATTCAAATTTCAAAGGAAACCCTATTTATTTCATTATTATATTGTTTTAAATGAAGAAATTGATAATAATTCACACTTTTTTATTAAATTTTTGATTAAATATTTCCTTTAATTTAAACATTTACGCTTAACGAGCACAATTCGCGACCGGCCGGGTTTTAATGTTTTTTGACAACTGAAGAAGGAAGCAATTAGGAGTAACAGTGTTGTCAATGGTTAAGAAGTAATTGTGCTGTGACGTATTTTTTCGATGGTTATGAAAAAAGGCCAGAAAAAACAAAACTCCTCAAAAGAGGTAGGTTTAATGTTGACTTTAAAGGGATTTATAGTGCATAGAAGCTCATTAGTCCTAATTTTGTTATTAGCTGCCTTGTATCGAATTAATATTTATATTAAATCTTTTAAAATTATTCAAAGGTGAAACTTAAACGGCAACAGATACAACCTTGTTAAAAAATTGCAGTTAGATGCATTAACGCTGGGGAACATTGATCTGTCAAAAATTTTAAACTGTTTTTTTTTTTTGTTTAAAAACAAGTAGATTTTTATATGTGTTCTTATACTACCTTAACCGGTTGTTGCAGTATGCATTTTTAGCAGTTTTAACGTATTTGAATAATTTTCATTTAAAATTTTTAATTTCAAAATTGATTTGACAGTTCATTGTTCCAGCAGATGTGTCGATGCGAATACCTTTATTCTTCTAACATGGATACAACTCTACAATAAGAGCTTTAAAATTTGTTATTGTGTCAGATTCCCATGCCCAGATTTTAGGTTGATTTAGTTCATGGATACAACTCTACAATAAGAGCTTTAAATTTTGTTATTGTGTCAGATTCCCATGCCCAGATTTTAGGTTGATTTAGTTCGATTTTGGCCCTACGATCCTTTGTTCTTTTCCGAAGAAGTCGGCCGATGACTTCAGCCAGTCAAAAAAAGCGTTTTATGTATTCTCACCTTAACTTTAACGGATTTAAGTACGTTCAGACAATTTTCCACAAATTCATTTAAAATATGTACGGGTGAGGTGACAAAACTGCAACCAACTTCAGACTGCTGTCACTTCTAAACCACTCGTCTGACAGCTGTTAAAATTATTCCAGTGACAGCTCATTACATTGTTTACAAGCGTACAAAAGCATTTTGGTGAGAATTTTCCAGAAAAAAAGTTATTCGTGATGGAACTCAAGCGTTGCGGTGTGGTTTTCTTTGTATTTGGCTGGAAAACCACAAGTGACTATCGTTAGAGCACTCCAGCATTTAAATGTGAATAAATCTTTTGTGTCTCGTACCATCGCTCGTTATCTTATTTTTCTCCGATGAGAAAACATTCGTTGTCCAGCAGTTTGTAAACAAACAAACTGATCGTGTTTACTTGCCAAAGGGGTCACCTGAAAATGTGCACCTTCGGATGGCCACCAGAACTCAAACCTTAGGCAAGCAAACATTTTGGCCGCAGGCCTTGGACATTTCAACAGGATCCGCACCATCGCACTCCGCTCGCGCACCAAAGAATGGTTACAAATGAAGTTCCTCGCTTCATTTCCAGCGCACAATGGCCACCAAAATCTCCGGATACCAATTCGTTGGACTATTGTGTCTGGAATATTTTGGAAAACAAGGTTGGCATTGAAAAATACCAAAGTGTCGCAAAGCTACTTTCGGGCAGCTTGTGACGCAGCAGCTTTGATTCTATTTCTGACATTGTTTGCTTTCATTCAATAAAATTAAAAAAATGTAAAAATTATGGCGTTTGACTTTGTTGCAGGTTTTTTATATCACCCTGTATACAAACTGTGTACATGTTTTGACAGAATAGGGGCACCACAAGAAAAAAAACTGTATTTTATCTACCTTTTGCAATTGTGTCATGGTTTTTATATTCTTTCTTGACTTTTATGTCCTCTAAAAGGCGTAAAAATTACAAAATATTTGATCGGAAATAAATCAAAATTTGCTTGACAGCTGTAGGCTCACACTTAATAAAGAACTACAAAATTTAAATGTGGCAATTTATAAAATAAACAAAAAATATAATCATACGATTGCATAAAACTACCTTGGTAATTGTTCCATTTCCTATATTTTAATTTGACACTTTCTTAACATAGACAACACTGTTACTCCTAATTTCTTTTCCTGTGGAGGTTGTTCGTTTGCCAATTGGCCGATGTCGAATGTGCTCACAAGATGAGAGTATCATCTCTCATCGTATATGCGTGTGTTCTCTCCATTCAAGCAAAATATTCCCAGCAGTCCGCTCGCCATTACAATTTAATACCCATCCGAATGTATGCTATTTTGTCAATAGGAAAAAATGAAATAACAGTGGTTTATAGCATACAACTAGCATCCGATTTGGATGAGTCGCATTGCTATTACATTGTGGAACAAAATCCATATTAGAATTAAAGAACAAAACAAAATATAATAAAATGTGTCCATCGCACTTTCATCTGAATCGGATGCCTTTGTATTGTTTTGTAAGTTTTTTTGTGTGTTGTTGCAGCCGGTGTTGTACCGTTATTCATTTTTGATGCTTCTTTCTTTTTAAAAGCAAAATTTTATTCTGTGAAGTGTTTTTGAAAGTGCAAGTTGTGAATATTGAAAAAAGTTAATAAAATAAAATAAATTAATAAAATAAGAATATAGTAAGTGTTGTGTGTTAAATAAGTTAAATAAAATGTCAGGATTCAGTAGGAGAAATTTAAGACGATTAAAGAAAGTGGAAGCAGACAATTTAAAAAGAAAGTACAATTGAGGACGGACTGTTTGGAAAACAATGATATTGTACTAAATGAGCAGATTCCATGCATTCCAAAATTGTAGAAGATTTTGGAAAATATGTAAGCATTTTAAAAAATCTCCTTTAGAATCCATTAATAATTTAATTTCTTTCAGGTTAATATCATAAAAATTATAATTTGACCAGATGGCCTTATTAAAATAAGGCCAGATGGTACCCGAAATAAAAAGGCGTTTAAGGAATTTAAACTTTTAAATATGGCCATTTTCGGTAGGTTAACTTTTTTCTTACATATTTATTGAAAAGTGATATTATATTACTTTAAAATGTAATCTATTAGTCTATTCTATAGTACAACTGTTTAATATTAAAAAATTGTTCTATATTTTCTATCCTTATTTCAGAAGCTGTCCGATGTGAAGGATTCTATGAACAAGATTACGCCAAAAAAATTAGAAATTGTTTCAAATTCCATAAGGCCAGACACTTCCGAACAATGTCCTACAATAAAAAAATACTGGAAAATTTTATTTTTTTTTCTTTAGTTTAAACTTTGTTTCTTCCCACGTCTTTTGAATAACATTTATGAATTTCTTTTTTATGCATTTTTTCTAATTACAATAAGAATATTTTATTGTTGAAACACTGTTCTATAATACGAATATTTTAATAAAAAAAAACAGCAGAAATTTAAGTTCCACAACTTAAAATGTTGATGGAATCGGACCCATCCAACCTTCGCTTACAATGTTGATAGATTTCGGACCCATCCAACATTCGCTTACATTGTCGGTCGATTTCGGACCCATCCAACATTCGCTTACATTGTCGGTAGATTTCGGACTCGTCTGACGGCCTAGGCCATCGCTGTGTAAATGTAAGTAGAAATTGTATACAGGCTTTGGATGGGTCGCACCTACATTGTCATTGGTCTCAGATGGAAGATGTATGTGCTAAAAAATCCGCTGGGTTGTAAAAACATTTTCGACGCTTTCTGCCTAAAACAAAGTTTTATTAACTCAAAAAAAGATCCAAGAAAAGTCTATGAAAAAATTGGAAATTATCTGTATAGAATCCTATCTTCATTTGGGAATATTAGGTAATTTGAAGAATCGACTTACTCTCATAAACGTACTACCCAAAATATCGTAATTGATACAAATTGCCTCATAATATCAATTTTGGGCGTTATATCAGGTCGCAGCTTAATCAACACATTGGCAATCGTTGGGTTAATAAAATGCACTCCAATTTTAGTTAAAAATCAGGAATCAAATAATTTTATACCTTGGAGCAAATGGCTCATTAATCGCCTGAAATAAAATTTCTGTCATTTACATTCTGTGCCAAATTTTCCAAATTCCAAACAACTCTTTTCCATATTCATATTAGTCTAAACAATTAATTAACCTTAAAATTTAAAAAATTTAAGTCTTAAATATACATATTCCAATGGGTTCCCAACAACATTTTCCAATTGCAATTCCCATTTTATTCCATTCTCTTCACACACACACAAATACACCACACTCTCCTCTCATTTCACATAACAAAGCAAATTCTTGGAATGGTGTCATTGGTTAAACACCTTTCTTTAGTAATTGTATGTCATTTCCTACTAATTCGATCATTTTATCATGTCTGTGCACAAAAAAAAACAACACCAACAAATATTACAATTGACCTTTTAAACAAATAAACTCCCAGAGCAAAGTAATAAATCTCCAATGGAGGAAGCCAAGAAAACAAAACGAAAGCCAATCCGGCAAATAAACCGACAAAAAACAAAACAAAAACAATGAAGGTGGCTGTGAGGTGGAGTTGGAGTAACGAGCAGCAACTCCAAATAGAAGCAAGACAAAAAAAGCCCCGGAGTAATCTACAAGAATCTGTTAACGAATCCACACAACACAAACTTAATTTCCTCCAAAAAAAATTCAACAATGGCAACAACTCCATATGGAATAGAGACGAAATTCAATATCACACCACAAGAGCAAAGAATCCAGAATCATGGCTGTGCATGAGTCGGGGAGAGCGGTTGCCAGAGGAGAGGCATCAATTTAAAAGGCCATCTAAAAATGTTGTAGTTTAAGCTTAAACACTAAATAGCCAAATCGCTGATCACAATTTAGTGTAAACTTGGCCATGGTACGCGAGCAAAGCCAAACAGGCAGCCAGCCACCAAAAGGATTTGTTGATCGAACTAACGACCATCCAACCAACCAACCAGGTATCCATCCATCCAATGGCTGGTGTGTGTTTTTGTTGTGGTGCCTGGTTGATTTAACTTTAAAGCTATTACTTAACATCAATTCGTATGGCCTTCTGGAATTACAAACAACTTCATCGCCAACAACACCGTCAGCCGGATGGCCGACCGACCAGCCAGCCAGCATCACAGGGCGAAGTGTAGACAGACAATGACAGCAACCAAGTGCCGTCGCCGCCATCTCCTGGCCTCGGACAGACTTCTTTTTAAGCATCAGCATCTAGCCAAACCATCGAATTAAAAGGGAGTTTCACTTGAATTTCCCTGGGTTCATTTCCATTCTAATAGGTTTGCTATTAAACCCCTCCGAATACACAGAAGTGAGCATCATCTATCCACTTGGCACCGATCATTTAACTTTTGGCTTTGAGCGTTTCTGTGCACACAGACGATGGCGCAGTAAAAGGCAATGCTGGACTGGAGGCAGGACCACAAGGGACATCTGAATGCTGTTGAAAGTCTGATGCAAACTCCTACTGTTGTTGTTGGTGCTGCTATGCTGTGTGCCTCTCTTTGGTTGGATTGATTCTTTCCGGTAAACATTTTGCGCGAAAAACGTGAGCAAAGCAATTAATTAGTCGTACACAAAAACCCTTTTTTCTACGTTTTTTTTTTTGTTCTCCTGGACTCACTGTTTTTGGTTTGGGTTTCACTGAGACTGAGGCCTGAGCCGTTCGTCCGTCCGTCCCTTCCGAATGTCTATTGGTGTGTATGTGTGTGCGACTCTTTATGTATGCTGTGGTCTTTTGTGGAAAAATTTTAATTGGCAATTGTTGTGCGCTTTGTATGGTCATAAAAATTCCTACACTTCTTCGTCTCTTGCCTTCCAGTCTCCAGCAGCTGATGCAGTTTCCCCATCTATTTACAATGGCATTTCTTGGAGTTGCTACCAATGCCCCTCTTGAAATATCACCGTTTTGTCAGTGACGTGCTGCTGCTATTGCCATCCGGAATAACTGAATGAATTCAAACATTGTGATAATGTTTACACTCAGCGAAAAGTAGGTGATCCTTGAAGTAATATTTGCACTCTTATATTTTTCCCAAACTAAAAACTAAAGGTGAGAGTACATAAAAGACTTTTTTGATTGGCTTAAGTCATTGGCTTGCTTCTTCGTAAAAAAGCAAAGAAGCGTGGGCTCAAAATGTTTACTCAAATGTGTATCATCTCTGCAGGACTTTTACTATTGAAAATGGACCATGTAGGTCCACGTCTTCGTATAGCCCCCATATAACCGTACCTCCCGATACTCGGTATTTTGGTGATTTTAGCGACATTATTTACCAGAATTGTTTCAAAATATGTTTTTGATATTCGTAGGCTGTAGTATCCAGCCTATGATAAAAAATGGGTCATGTAGGTCCACGCCTTCGTATAGCCCCCATATAACCGTATCTCCCTATATTCTGTATTTTGATGATTTTAGCGGCATTATTTACCGGAATTGTTTCAAATTTGGTATTTGAAGTTCGTAATAGATACTACAGCCTAAGACAGAAAATTGTCTGTGCAGGTCCACGTCTCCGTATAGCCTCCCGATATTCGGTATTTTGATGATTTTAGCGACATTATTTACCGGAAAATTGTCTGTGCAGGTCCACGTTTGTTGTTTTACAACAAATTTTAGCTACATTATAAAGAGATTTTTTGTTAAGTTACGCATTTGAATATTGTAATGGCTTATGACAAAAGTTACCCATGCAGGTCCATGTCGTCGTATAGACCCAAATGTACGGCATCATTTTATTTTTTGGAAAATTGCCAAATTTGTACCAAATGGTGGAGGGTATTTAAAGATCGGCCCGGCCAAACTTACAGCAATTTTACAATTTTATTGAATGAAAACAAAAAATGTCGGAAATATCATAGTATTTTAGAATAAGTTTAGATTTGTTCGAATTCGTCACCTTTGGCACAAATTATAGCCTTCAAACTTCCAATGAAATTGTCACAAGTTGCCCGAATGTTGCTCTGCGGCCCATTCCCGGCGAAGCGCTTGCTTGAAGTGATCGACACTTTGGTATTTTTTAGTGCTATCCTTACTTTCCAAAATACTCCAGGCACATTAGCCCAACGGATTAGTATGCGGAGCTTTCGGTGACCAATGTGCGCTGGAAATGAAGTGGGGAACCTCATTTTCTAACCATTCTTAGGTGGCACGTGCTGAGTGCGATGGAGCTGAGTCCTGTTGGAATGTCCAAGGTCTGTGGCCAAAATTTTTGCGTGCCCAAGGCTTTAAAACACCCTCCAGAATATTTTCGCGATAAACACGATCATTTTGTTTGTTTAGAAACTGCTGGAAACGAATGTTTTCTCATTGGAGAAAACCTAATTCGACAGTTCACCACTTTCGGCCATGCGAAGCAACTCTTTAGCTCTTTTGAATCTATTTTCTTTCGTTGCGGTGTAAGTTCTCGGAATTTCAATGGCTTTACCCCGAACTCATTTTTCAATATTTGCTGAATGGAATATTGCGCTATGTTAAGCCCACGAGCCATTTTTCGGCCACTACGACGCGGGTTTCGATCTGTCACTAAAACAATTTTAACAGCTGTTGGACGAGTGGCTTAGAAATGACAGCCTGTATTGTTGAGGAAAATATTAAGATTTAAGTATCTAAAATTGTGTTAGCTTGGGGGGAGGTACATAAGCGGTAGGCCGTTATATATCATTTTCACAGCATATGTTAGGAGAAATATTGAAGTTTTGCTTTTATAGGGTGATTTGTTAATTAAAATATGATCCCTCAGTGGGGGAGGTACCAAAAGGATTAGATCGATATATCTCGCCTTCACAGATTTTGTGTTAATACAAAAGTTGAGATGTATAAAATTTTAAAAGAGTCGGATGCTTATTTTATCACATATATATTTTTTATGAGAGATATAATTATTTAAAACTTTTAACCCTTTGTTGGGGGGAACTAGAAGGTGTTTTCCGATTTTTTTATGAGATTCGTGGATATTCAAAATGTTCACCCTTTTTGGGGGAGGTGCCAAAGGAGTGGACCCATATATCCATCTTCACAGCAGATCTTTTGCTAGTAGAAATAATGAGATGTGTGAAATATGAAGAGAACCAGATGCTTATTTCTGATTTTAAAATGGCTTGGTTATTTAAAACTTTGGCCCTTTGTGGGGGGGTACTAAAGGAAATGGTCCGATCTCTGTTATCTTTATAACAGAACTTGTGCTGATAAAAATATTAAGATGTGGCAAATCGGAATGAAATTGGATGTTAATTTCTCGTTTTATGAGCTTCATGAATATTCAAAATTTTGACCCTCTG